ACTTCATGTTATATATGTGGAGGAACTGTAATGGGAGATCAATGGCCATGGGAAGCTCGAGAATTAGTACCTACAGACTCAGTTCCTGATGAATTCCAGCTGAAAAGAATCAACCTGATAATTTCTGGGTCCTAAAAGCCTCAATTATTGGACAATATTGCATAGCTAGAGAAGAAAAAGAATTCACTCATCCCGTAGGACGACTTAGTTGTCTGAGACAGAAACTGTATAATGGTACCACAAAAACAGTCACTTGGTGGAGTTCAAATCAAACAGAGAGGAATCCATTTAGCAAATTTCCAAAGTTGCAAACTGTGTGGACCCACCTAGAGTCCCACCGGGACTGGACAGCACCCACTGGATTATACTGGATATGTAGGCATAGAGCTTATGCCAGATTACTTGACTAGTGGGCAGGTAGTTGTGTTATTGGCACTATTAAACCATCTTTCTTCCTACTGCCCATAAAAACAGGTGAACTCCTGGGCTTCCCTGTCTATGCGTCCCGTGAAAAGAGAAGCATAGCTATAGGAAAGTGGAAAGATGGTGAATAGCTCCCTGAGAGAATCATACAATATTATGGCCCTGCTACTTGGGCACAAGACAGCTCATGGGGATACCGGACCCCCATTTATATGATCAACCAAATCATATGGTTAAAAGTTGTCTTACAAGTAATCACTAATAAAACTGGCAAAGCCTTCACTGTTCTGGCCCTGCAAGAAACTCAGATGAGAAATAATACCTATCAAAATAGACTGGCTCTCAGCTATTTGCTAGCAGCTGAAGGAAGGGTCTGTGGGAAATTTAACCTTACTAATTGCTGTCTACAAATAGATGATCAAGGGCAAGTAGTTGAAGACATAGTTAGAGATATGACAAAACTGGCACATGTGCCCATGCAAGTGTGGCATGGATTTGATCCTGGGGACATGTTTGGAAAATGGTTCCCAGCACTAGGAGGATTTAAAACTCTTTTAATAGGAGTTATAATAATAATAGGAACCTACCTACTGCTCCCTTGTTTGATACCTGCACTTCTTCAAATGATAAAAAGCTTCATCACTACCTTAGTTCACCAAAATGCTTCAGCACAAGTGTACTATATGAATCACTATCGATCTGTCTTGCAAGAAGACATGGGTAGTGAAAATGAAAGTGACAACTCCCACTAATAAAATGAGTGAGAGTCTCAAAAGGGGGAAATATGGGAGGAGACCACCCCTCATATTGTCTTATGCCCAATTTCTGCCTCCAAAGAAAAAAGAGGTAAAAACTAAAAGGCAGAAATGAAATCCACAGGCAGATGGCCCGGTGCCACACCCTGGGCCTGGTAGTTAAAGATCAACCCCTGACCTAATGAGTTATGTTATCAATAGATTACGGACATTGTATAGAAATGCACTGTGAAAATCCCTATCTTGTTTTGTTCCGATCTAATTACTGGTGCATGCAGCCCCCAGTCATGTACCCACTGCTTGCTCAATCGATCATGACCCTCTCACACACACCCCCTTAGAGTTGTGAGCCCTTAAAAGGGACAGGAATTGCTCACTCCGGGAGCTCAACACTTGAGACAGGAATCTTGCCAATGCCCCCAGCCAAATAAAGCCCTTCCTTCTTTAACTCAGTGTCTGAGGAGTTTTGTTTGCAGCTCATCCTGCTACAATACCAGCCCTTGTTCCGGTGGAGGTGGTGGAGGGTGAAATGGACTCCATGAGGATCCTTGGCTTTGGTGATTTAATGCTCTATTTTTGTGCTTGTTGGTCTCCTGCGAGGAGGTGGCACTTTCCAGAAAGCATCAGTGGGAGAGGGAGTGATGGTGGGCAGCGTCCTAGAACTCCCAAGATTAAATGCCCTTTGTCTTCTGCTACCAGGGTGGATAGAGAAGGACCATTAGGTTGGGGCGGGGCTAGGAGTGTCTGAGCTCAGACTATCCATGGGTGGGTCTTGCTGTGGCTGCTGTGGAGGGTGGGAGAGAGATTCCCAGGTCACTGGAGTTGTGTACCTAGGAGGATTATGGCTGCCTCTGCTGAGTCATGCAGGTTGTCAGGGGAGTGGAGGAAGCTGGCAGTCACAGGCCTCACCCAGCTCTGATGCAAACTGGAAGGCTGGTCTCACTCCCACTTCCCCCATACCCACCAACAGCCCTGAGTCTGTTTCCAGGCAGAGGGCAAGGGGGCTTGAAAATTTGCCTGAGGCTTTCCACCTCCCAGCTGAGAAAGAAAAGGACTTTTGTTCTTCACCCTCCTGTGAAGTTTGCATGCTGGATTTGTGACTTCCCTGAGTTCTGGCGAGAGGCTTCTCTGGCTGACCTCCTGATAGATCCCCGTAGTGTCAGGCAGGAATGGGCTGCTGGGGACCCAGCAAGCTCCCAGGGCCTTCCAGCTGCTTCCTCTACCCCTGTATTTTGCTTGGCTCTCTAACTTGACTCAGCTTCAGCTAAAGTCAGAAACTTCTCCTGCACACAGACCTTCAGCTTCTCCAGTGGGGGTGTGTGTTCCAGTGTCTCTTTTTCCCACTTCTGCAGTTGGGGCAGTCAGAATATTTGGAGTGTTTCCTGGGTCCTGCAGGAGCCGTCGGCTTCCTTCAGAGGGTCTGTGGGTCCTCTCGGGATTCATCATGTAATATTTTGAAACACTACATAATTATTTAAGATTCTAACATATACAATCTAATCCTTATGATTCTTATAAATGTATGTAAAATAAGGCAGGTATATAATGAAACTTTGACCAATGTTTCTATAAAGCAAAAGTCTGCAAACTATAGCTTGTGTGTGCCACTTGTTTTTGAAAATTAAGGGTTATTGGTACATAGCCCCACCCATTTACTTATGTATTGTCTATGGCTGCATTTGTACTATATGCAGAGTTTAGTAGTTGAGACAGTTGACCTGCAAAACCATAAATAATCACCATCTGGTATGTTACAGAAAAGTTAGCCAACCACTGCTATAAAGACTCAAACCTTATTTTTTGGTGAAAAACTAAAAAAAAAAAAAAAAAAAAAAAAAAGGAAATAAAAAAACTAGTGAAACTTATTTTATTTCTAGGTTAGTTTATTTCTAGTTCAAAAATAATCTGTAATTGCTGTAAGAAATGTCAACCACTTACCTAGAACTTTTGATAAAGGGGATGAAGTCTACATATACTAAGTAATAACAAGATAATTATTTTATTGTTCAAAAAAAAGTCAAAAAAATTCCATATTCCCTTTGGGGGAAATTGGCAGGATTTCAAGTATGACCTTTAAGAATTAGGAAAAGACTAGCCTATGCTTTAGGATTAAAACAATCAAATAATTAAGTTAGTTCAATTTTCTGACATATTCTCTATCATCAAAGTGCATCATTGCAAGTTATACATCACTAAAATTACACAGTGAATAATTATTATGATGTGATTATTTAATTCAGTGTCAACTGTCTAAAGGTCTAAAGTGTCACATTAAGGTTATAATCTAGATGAACTGAAGAAGAAAGAAAATATTTCTTCATTAGCCCATTTGTTTATGATTCAATTCCTACTCAATGCTAATGATTTCTTCTACCTTCCTATGGAAAATATAAGATTCTAGATTTTTGTATAAGGTGGTTTGCTTTAGCTTGAGATCTGTCAGTGAGAATTATCCCTGGGCAATGTCCAGAAATCACATTATTGCTTATAGACCTTGTAGCCTTGATATAATGGAAAACTGTACACTGTCTTCCCTAGTAAGCTCGGATGGTTGTTTCTGATATTGGGACCCATTGTACACTTAGCCAAACCAGTGCCCAAATATGTCCCAAGATTTTTACCTAAGACTTTCCTCAGTATCCACTGGTCATCTGGAAGAATAAACTTCTGAATGGCAGCAACTCATGACCCCTCCTCTGTTGGTACGGAGGTAAATGCAATCTTTGTTGCACAATTTACAATCTTTTTAAGGAAAAAACATAGTTTTGATAATTGAACTGCATGTTCTTGTAAACTTTTAGTGTTATGATGCAAGATTATTGCCTTCGGGGCCCGGATCTGAAACAACCGGGAAGAGGCACCGTGGCTGCTACCATCTGGTCCCCGCGCCTGACCCCTCCCAGGACTCGTGATGCCAAGGCCGCTGCGAGCGGCTACGAAGAGTCGGGGTTGAGCCCCAGCTGAGCTGAGGGCTCGCACTCTTCTGGTCTCCCAGGCCCAACCCACGTGAAGAAATGAGTGGTGGATTGGCTCCAAGTAAGAGCACAGTATATGTATCCAACTTGCCCTTTTCCCTGACAAACAATGACTTGTACCGGATATTTTCCAAGTACGGCAAAGTTGTAAAGGTTACCATAATGAAAGATAAAGATACCAGGAAGAGTAAAGGGGTTACATTTATTTTATTTTTGGATAAAGACTCTGCACAAAACTGTACCAGGGCAATAAACAACAAACAGTTATTTGGCAGAGTGATAAAAGCAAGCATTGCTATTCACAATGGAAGAGCAGCTGAGTTCATCCGAAGGCGAAACTACTTTGATAAATCTAAGTGTTATGAATGTGGGGAAAGTGGACACTTAAGTTACGCCTGTCCGAAAAATATGCTTGGAGAACGTGAGCCTCCAAAGAAGAAAGAAAAAAAGAAAAAAAAGAAAGCTCCTGAACCAGAAGAAGAAATTGAGGAAGTAGAAGAAAGTGAAGATGAAGGGGAGGATCCTGCTCTTGACAGCCTCAGTCAGGCCATAGCATTCCAGCAAGCCAAAATTGAAGAAGAACAAAAAAAATGGAAACCCAGTTCAGGAGGCCCCTCAACATCAGATGATTCAAGACGCCCGAGGATAAAGAAAAGCACATATTTCAGTGATGAGGAAGAACTTAGTGATTAAAATCTTGCCCTAGCACAGTAATAAAAATCAAGATTTGTTAATAACAATCTTGAAGAGCTAATTTTAATAAAAATAAGAAAAGTTAGTACTATCATGTTTAATACTATTATTGTTATCCCAAGAAAAAAGATATTTTAAAAATTTATTTGAAAAGTTCATTATAAGGGCTTTATTCATGCCTGATTTGTTTACATGAGGACTTCCGAAATTAATCCTTAAAACTGAAACTTCCTGAAGACCGAAAAGTTGAATGATTTATTGTTACTTATGTTAATAAACTTTTCAAGAGAGAAAAAAAAAAAAAGATCTAATTATTATCAAATATAGTGACACTTGTCCCAAATTCTAAAATTGTTTCAGTTATGCCTTGGGTCAGGGTGACAGAAAAGCTCTGTTGTTTAGATCTTTAGCTTATGGGACATATATCTCTTGGTTTTTTTTTCCAGGGTCTTCTGTAGCTTTTGTATCTCATTTTGAAGTTGGGTACTTTCACCTTGGCATCTCTCCTTCAGTAGTCGGGCCTGTTCCTAAAAAGGGACAAATGGAGACTAAATAAGTGTAGCATTAAGTAAATCTCTATAAGCTATCTAGTTTCCACATGCATTCCTGGGTTTTCTATAGCCAAAAGAGTTCTTGCTTTTTTCCCCCTATTACAAAACCTTTGTGGTCAATCTTAATATATTTGACTTCAAGTCTTCCCTATGCATTATAGACTTTTTTTTTTTTTTTTTTTTTTTTTTTTTTTTTTTTTGAGACGGAGTCTCGCTCTGTCGCCCAGGCTGGAGTGCAGTGGCCGCATCTCAGCTCACTGCAAGCTCCGCCTCCCGGGTCTATGCCATTCTCCTGCCTCAGCCTCCCGAGTAGCTGGGACTACAGGCGCCCGCCACCTCACCCGGCTAGTTTTTTGTATTTTTTAGTAGAGACGGGGTTTCACCGTATTTAGCCAGGCTGGTCTCGATCTCCTGACCTTGTGATCCGCCCGTCTCGGCCTCCCAAAGTGCTGGGATTACAGGCTTGAGCCACCGCGCCCGGCCTGCATTATAGACTTTTTAAAACACCTGCTTACATACATATTATTATATATACACATAATACAGAAATAAGGTACTCTCAAAATCTGATGAGGTATATGAATCTTAGATCAGGAAATTTGGTCTAAGTCTCTACTCCCTGTTGGCAGGGGTAGCAGAAGATAGGCAAGGAAATCCAAGTGCCAGACTTAACATATATAATTTCTGCACATAGCTCCCAACTCAACACAAGCTGTGAGTAGGGCACAGAAAACAGACAGGAGTGGTAGACTGCCCTACAGGTGTGAGGGTTAGGGAGTCCTTCTGCTCATAAAAGTTATCTTAGAGCCAAAGTCATACTAGATGGGATAGAAAAAATATTACTGTGGATTCCATGAAGTGATGAAGATGGGTCAGATATTTACTAGCTGTGTGACACTATAAAAGTTATTTAATATTTTCTGAACCTCTGTTTCCTCTCCTAAGTAATTGGGATGAAGTTCTCACTTCATATGGTATTAAGCAAGAGATATAGATAAGGCATTTTTATGATGCCTAGTATATGAGAGTCATAAGTGGAAGGATATACTAAAAAAGGACTGAATGTGACATGCTGCAAATAACGTTTTAGTGACCACATGTAGGCAGTGGCCACTTCAAGTCAGATAGACAGAAACAAGAAGGTACAAGTGAGCAAGCAGAATCCTTCCCCTGGGCTTTATGTTCTCTCTGCCATACTAAGTTTGTGATCAGGAAGAACAGACAGAAAACAGAAAAACAAACAACAAGGTGATGCATTTGGATACCTGAAGTTTACTAGTGAGGGTCCTCTCTTGCTCTTCCAGCAACTGGGCCCTCTCCCTCTCTATCTTCTCAGTCAATTGTTTCACATGTTCCTGATAACTCTTCTCTTTCTCTTCCATCATCTGCTGATACTTTATTTGCATTTCCTCCACCATTTTTGCTGAAGCCTGTGCAGATTCAGCTTTTGCATGTTCCACTGTGGAGGAAAAGGAAGAAAAAAAGTTTGTGTGGGGTTATCTTATTACCTCATTCTTTGTTATAAACTTACTTGCCATTGTTGCTGCTGACTGCATATGACCTACTCAGAGATGACCTCAATAAGTAAGACACGTCTTGCTTTAGTTTATGGAAGTTAGGTTTATCCAGTCAAATTATTTAAAATTTGAAAAGCTTTAGGATAAGCTGATCCTTTGACTTGCTCCTCACCTTCAATCTCCTTTTCCTTTTTTGTGAGAATCTTGTCTGTCTGTAGAATTGCATCAGTCACAGACTCCTTGGATTTCAAGTATGTCTGCAGAATCTCTTCAGCCTTAGGACCCAGAGAACACAGAGTGAGAAGTAGGAAATGGCTGTAAGCAGGTGTTCCTGTTCGTCTGTCAACCATCTTTTCTTCTGAGAATTCTTCCTCTTGGTGTGCCTGGTGGTCAAGATTCCCTATCACAGGGCCAGATACATGCTCCAAACTGGCCAATCAGATGACCTTACTTAGCAGAATCTTATTTAGGAGGATGATATAGATACTGGGAAATAAGATTCCCTGTTCTTTTCAAATTGAGGGCTCTAAATTTAATGCTGTGGTTCCATATGGGCTGAGCTGACTGGAGAATGAAGCCCTCCTTGAGAGAGCAAGTCAGAGTGATTCAGATAGAGGGAGGAAGAGAGGGAGAGAATTGTGGGGATGCAGGGAGGACATCAGGCAGAGAGACAGATCATGACATTATTTGAAATCTTGGATCCAGATGTCCTTTAAATCCAGTTTGAAACCTAAAACGATGAATTGCCAATTTTTTTTTAAGCAACCATCATTGGGTTTTTGTCTCTTGGAACAGAAAAAAATTCAGCTGTAATGATCATGACAACAACTTGGTGGTTAATCTGATAATTGAATTTATAACTCAATAGTTAATTGACTACACTCTCTAATTAAGTAACTACCTTTTTTTTTGAGACAGAATCTTGCTCTGTTGCCAGGCTGGAGTGCAGTGGCACGATCTCAGCTCACTGCAACCTCCGCCTCCTGGGTTCAAGTGATTCTCCTGCCTCAGCCTCCCAAGTAGCTGGAATTACAAGCACCCGCCACCACGCTCAGCTAATTTTTGTATTTTTAGTAGAGATGGGGTTTCACCATGTTGGGCAGGATGGTCTTGATCTCTTGACCTCATAATCTGCCTGCCTCGGCCTCTCAAAGTGCTGGGATTACAGGCATGAGTCACTGTGCCCGGCCTAATTAACTAATTTTTGAAAGAAAGAGTCTGGCTCTGTTGCCCAGGCTAGAGTGCTATGGTGCAGTCTTGGTTCACTGAACCTCCCGGGCCCAAGCAATTCTCCTGCCTCAACCTTCTGAGTAGCTGGGACTACAGGCATGTGCCACAGTGCCCGGCTAATTTTTATATTCTTACGAGAGACAGGTTTCGCCATGTTGCTCAGGCTGGTCTTAAACTCCTGAGCTCAAGCAATCTGCCTGCCTCTGCCCCCCAAAGTGTTAGGATTACAGGCTTGAGCCACTGCACCCGCTGACTGCACTTCCTTTGATGAGCACCTGGGACATATCTGGTGTAACAGTCTCCCTGCATATGTTATTGAATGAAAGCATGAATGTTATACAGACAAAAAAGCACACCTGTGTGCAACGAGACTTGGTCACCTTAGTGTTTGTAGGAGGCAGGTCAGCAGATTTCCATAACTGACAGATGAATCTTGGTTACCTGTATCCCCTTCCTTGGTTCCTCATGGTACTTTTTCTTCAGGTCTTGTAGCTTCTGAATAAAGAGACGATAGCCCCCTGGTTTCGAATAAATTCCCATCTTCACTTCCTCTTCTAGAGGGCTGAAAATGTCCTGAAGTAAAGCTGAGCAACGATCTGATGATGCTTCCTGATTCTGTTTACAAAAGTCATCCCGCTTTTTTACTAGCTGGACCTTTAATGTAAAAGCACGAAGTAAAAAGAATAACAGGGAAAAGGATGTGAGCTTGACCTCAGAGTTTTGGGAAAGACTTCTGAAAATAAAAAGTCAATGACTCTGGAGAAACTGACAGACTCCTCAGCAGGAGCACACTCTTCCTCCTGACCCCACTTTCTACTGAAGTCGCTTTCTTTTTGGAGGTGAGATTCAGGGCTGAGATTGACAGCTTTATGGCAACTGTTAGAGGAAAACTCTGCTTTTGCATATTGGACTAATGATTTCATATGGAATAAATGTGGTTGAACAGAACCCTGCTCAAGATAACTAAGAAGAAAATTTTCTTTGCATTTGGCTAGAATATCAAATCAGTCTGAGAAGAGTGGGCATGTAATTTGATTAGAAGCTCTGATTGTCAGTTACATGAATTTAATAAAGGGAAGACCCTTTATTGATAAGCAATGTTTTTACTTTGAGTCTGAAGTCATAAAATTGTTTTTTTCTGATTATTATGATTACCAAGAGCTAGTTGTCACCATTTTAAAATCTAGAATAATTATTTCTCTCAAAATAAATAACAATTTCATTTCTTAGTAGTACTTTACCTTCCAAAATCCAAATTCATGTAAACGTGACAGAAAAATTACCGCTAATTTCTTTTGAAACAGATGGTCCACATCCTTGAAAGAGTTCTTCATAAATACTTCAGTGGCCTCCCTCTCACTGACTCTGTGCATGTCTAGCAGCTCCTGGAGGGTTTCCGTGGGCAGCTGCACCTTCTGGCCCATCTGCTGGTCGTAGTGAGCAATGGCTTTTTGCACTGCAACTGAGTTCTCTATCTGGGCCAAGGCCAGGATTGCGTTCTCCATGCAGGGCAGATCCCCACTGCTGATAGCATCAATATAGGTCAGCACCAGGCTTTCTAGACCTACATATAGAGAACAAACGATAATGTTTCTTGTACTAAAGAAAATTCTGTATTCTGTGTAATTCTGAACACGTCAATTTCCACCTGTTTTCCTCACAGCATCAAGGTCCTCAGAATCAACTGGAAGCTTGCTGGAAATGCCTATTGTCAGCCTCTGTCCCAGATCTACTGGATTAGACTTTTCTCTTTGGGTAAGATCCCCAGATGATATGTATGCATACTGACATTTGAGAATCCTTGTTCTAAATGACATAGGCCTGTGTTAGTTGAATGTTTGCATCCATTTCAGCCCCAAGCACCATCAGAAAAGGAACCCATAGCTATTTCATTTATGACTGTATCCTCAGCCTATTCACAGTAGCATTTGATCAATACTTATGGAACAAATGATACTCTCCTAGTCAAAAGGAGTCCTCCATTTGGTTTATTTTAGCACAGCATTGTCAAAGTAAACTTTCTGTAATGATGGAAGTGTTCTGTATGTGCTGTTCAGTAAGCTAGCCACTAAGAACATGTAAATATAAGCCCCTGAAATATAGCCATGTGAATTGACATTAATTTTTCCTTATATTAATTGATTTACATTTACATTTAGATAGTCCCACTTGTCTAATGGCTACTGTACAGTACAGGCCCAGTTTACTGTGGCAATTTTCAGTAATAAAACTTTTTTCCTTTGCTTTTCCTATCCTATCCCACCAAGAAAGTTGACCAACAAAATCTATTAGAAATGTTGGTGTCATCTAGAGTTTAACACAAATGTAGCAGTAGATTGGGATTTTTCAATGCTAAAACTAGGTGGAGTTATTCCATGCTCCTTTCATATTTTTTTTTCCTCTGTCACCCATGCTGGAGTGCAGTGGCGTGATCTCATCTCACTGCAACCACTGCCTCCCAGGTTCAAGCAATTCTCCTGCCTCAGCCTCCCAAGTAGCTGGGATTACAGGCATGTGCCACCATGCCTGTCTAATTTCTTTTGTATGTTTAGTAGAAACATGGTTTTGCCATGTGGGCTAGGTTGGTCTCAAACTCCTGGCCTCAAGTGATCTGCCCTCCTCGGCCTCCCATAGTGCTGATATTACAGGTGTGAGCCATCATGCCTGGCCATCCTTTAGTTTTAACAATGAGCAGAAGTACTAGGAAGGGGACTTACGAGGCCCATTGACCTTGATGCCTCCTGAAAGAGTTTTAGTTTTGGAATTGCTAAAGATGTAGGAACAAAAGTCTGCTACTTGTTGCACAAATTCGGGGTCCAGCTCTTCATCATGTAGTTTCTCGAGCTGGGCAAGCTTCTTGCAGTGAACGGGGTGATCAAAGACAAAGCATTTCTTCTTTGGGAAGAACTTCCGGATACAGAGTCGGGGCTGATTAAAATTTTTATCTTTTTCACTGGTACCTAGAAAAACATAATAAAGAAATTTGCCTAATATAAGTGTTTCTATAAAGGGTCAAATAGTAAGTATTTTAGGCTCTGCAGGCTAGGTGGTCTCTTTTCCAAGTACTCAACTCTGTTATTGGAGCATGACAACAGCTTTAGACAATATGTAAATGAATGGGCAGAGTATTCTTCCCAAAAAACCTCATTTAGAAAGACAGCTGGCAGGCAGAATTGGCCATCATTTGTGTTAGGCTGCAGTTTGCCAACATTTGGACTAGTACACTGTTCATGTTTAATCTATGTTCTTTAAATAAATATCCATTGCCTTCATAATTTATGGGTAAATACAGAATCACAAACCCTACATAAGGTGATAAAATTTACCTAAATTATACAATAGGGGAAAATGAAAGAAAAAGAAACTTATTTTAGAACACGGGAGAATATAATTTAAAATCTAATCTATTAATTTAGATATTCAGCAAGCATTCATTCCTTTTTTCCTTTTTTCAAAAAACCTTTTCGATTGCTAATAGCAAGCATTAATTCTTAAGAATAGCAAGCTAGAGATATAGAAAACTATAAATGTGAGAAAACTATCAATAGTAAACTAAAAAATGATAATTTCCAGTGTTTTGTCATCCTCATTTATCAATGGTACGTCCCTGTTACCTTGTGTTAGCTTCAGGGAATACTCCAGGTACTCATCTGCTGTGATGGGTTGTCCATCTGCTTCTAAGTCCAGGGAGAAATCTCTCAGTGTCCACACAAAGTCTGGGAAGAAGCTCACAAAGTCAGCTGAATCCTCATTCTCATTCTCATCAGGTGAGGATTTTGATCGGATTCGATGTGTCAGCTCTGTCACATAGCTGAGTAGCTAACTAAGGAAATGTGACAAAATGAACAGGGACCTCATCCCATATTAGTTCAACACATTCCCAAACTTTCCATTTTCCTTTGCTCCTAACCTAAGTGTCATTTCTAAAGTGGACACATGGGATCGCTCCTCGTACTTGCATTATTTTTTGTTTTCTCCTCTTGAGCTTGATTCATGAGGATTCATAGTCAGGCAGCTGGTTTATGAATACAGGTGTCCCCTCTGACCTTGGTGCTGTTCTGGGTCACAAAGGATACTGCAGTTGGTCCATGGCCTGCTGGTTGATGGTTCCCATGCTATTGTACACGAAGGTGCTGCTCAGGAGGATGGCCAGGGCGAAGATCCAGGAGTCATTCTGGTTGTCACCCTGGAAGTCAAGACACACTGGAGTCAGGAGCAAGTTTCATCGTCACAGCTCTTTCCAGAGTAATAGTAGTATAAGTATATCATAAGTTAGAGTTTTCTTTTAAGACTAATGACCCAGGAAAAGAACCCAAATTCAAACAAAATAATTGTTACTCAGCTGATTCTCACTAGGTCCTCTTATGATCATTGGCAGATAATTGCAAAATAAACATTCAAGGTTGGTGGGCATTCTAAGGCCTGAAGTATAATTTAAATTTGCTCAGGCTACTGAATTATAAGTTCTCTGCAGGATAGGACTCAAGACATTGGATTTATTTGTGCTGTCTTCATGCATCTGTGTTAACTCACATAGCTTACAACCTACAGTTAGTAGAATACTGTGTGTTGACCAACATGCTCTTCTAGGATTCTGTCTTATGAACTTTTTTTTTGCTAAGTTTGGCCTTATGACATGTACACGGAAATGAAAAGACAAATTATAGTTAAATGCAAATACTTCTTTAAGAAAAAACTAAATGGTGCTTAAAATATTCAGAGAGGAGAGGCTTATTCCAAAATTGAATCTTTGACCCTTACCTTCTTTACATCTCCCAGGCCCTCAGTGTCAAGCAGGACTAGGGTGTGTTCTGGCTTCTTGGGGTGAGGCACACACCACATCCAGATTCCTTTGGTGTGAGATTCCACTGTGGAGCCCAGAGAGAAGCCTGTAAAGAAGAGATGGAATAAGAAGGGCTGGAGGTTTAATAGCAGGTACTTCTGGAAATTGAGGCAAATGTAGCGTCATAATTAATGTTAAGAGAGATAACCAAAACCACAATCCGTACTTACCTTACTTATAATCAGAAAAATAGAAAAATTTGAATATCCAGTATATAAATGGATTCAGGACCTTTCGTGATAAAAACAATCAACAAGTTAGAAATAGAAAAAAACTGAGGCAGGAGAATCACTTGAACCCAGGAGGTGGAGGTTGCAGTGAGCCGAGATAGCACCACTGCACTCCAGCGTGGGCAACAGAGCAAGACTCTGTCTTAAAAAAAAAAAAAAAAAAGAAAGAAGAAGAAGGGTAGGGAAATAGAAAAAAATTACGTCAACAATATAAAAATATAAAGGACATATATGAAAAATTCATAGCCCACTTCATACTCAATGGTGAAGACTAAAAATTTTCCTCTAATATGGGAACAAGGAAAGGATGCCCACTTTTGCCACTTCTTTTCCACAAAGTACTAAAGGTCCTATCCAGCATAATTAGGTGAGAAAAGGAAACAGAAAGCATCTAAATTGGAAAGGAAGATGTAAAATAATCTGTATTCATTGATGATATGATCTCTGTAGAAAACGTTAAATATTACACAGAACTGTTAGAACTAATAAAAAGAATTCAGCAAAGTTGCAGCATACAAAATTAACATGTAGAAATCAGCTGCATTTCTATACAGTAGCAATGAACAATCCAAAAAGGAAATTCTGAAAGCAATCCCATTAAACATACCACCAAAAGGGCAAACTACTTAAGAATAAAATTGACCAGGCACAGTGGCTCACGCTTGTAATCCCAGTACTTTGGGAGGCCGAGGTGGGTGGATCACAAGGTCAGGAGATCGAAACCATCTGGCCAACGTGGTGAAACCCTATCTCTACTAAAAATACAAAAAAAAGTTAGCTGGGTGTGGTGGTGGGCGTCTGTAATCCCACCTACTCGGGTGCCTGAGGCATGAGAATTGCCTGAACCCAGGAGGCGGAGGTTGCAGTGAGCTGAGATTGCTCCACTGCACTCCAGCCTGGCGACAGAGTGAGACTCTGTCACAAAACAAACAAACAAACAAACAAACCCAAAAAAGTTAACCATAGAGGGCAATGACTTGTATAATGAAAATTACAAAACTCTTTTTTTTTTTTTTTGATACAGAGTGTCACTGTGTCATCCAGGCTGGACTGTGATCACTGCTCACTGTAGCCTTGACCTCCAAGGCTCAAGCAATCTTGCCACCTCAGCCTCCCGAGTAGCTGAGACTACAGGCATGTGCCACTAGGCCTGTCTAATTTTTGTATATTTTGTAGAGATGGGGTTTCATCGTGTTGTCCAGGTTGGTCTCAAATTCTTGAGCTCAAGTGATCTGCTGGTCTCAGCCTCCCAAAGTGCTGGGATTACAGGTGTGAACCACTGCACTTGGCCAAACATTCTTAAAAGAAATTAAGCAAGAGATAAATAATTAGAAAGACATCCTGTAAAAGTGACATACAGATTCAATGCAATCCCTATCAAAATTCCAATGACTTTTTTAATAAATAAAAATATAAAAAATATCCACACTAACTTTCATATGAAATTTCAAGAGTTCTCCAAATTGTCAAAATAATCTCAAAAAGAAAGAAGAAAGTCAGAGGCTCACAGTTTCTGAGTTCTGAAACTTACTATAAAACCAGGATAATCAGCACAGTTTGGTATTGGCTTAAACACTATTATCAACCAATGGAGTAGAGAACCTAGAAATGAACTCTCATATCTATAGTCAAATAATTTTCAACATGGGTGCTAAGATCATTCAATGCAGAAAGAGGAGTCTCTACAATAAATGACATTGGGAAAACTGGGTATTCACATGCTCACATGCCAAAAAAAAAAAACAAAACAAAAAAAAAAAAGTTGGACTGTTAGCTTACACAATCCAAAAAGTAACTCAAAATGGATCAAAGAACTAACCATTAGAGCTAAAACTATAAAACTCATGGGAGAAAACAAATGGGAAAAAACAGACAGTGAAAGGAAAAAACAGATAACTTTGACTTCATCAAAATTAAAAACTCCTGTGTATCAAATGACACTATCAACAGCATAAAAAAGGCAACACATGGAATGGAAGAAAACATTTGCTAAACATGTATCTGATAAGGAATTGATATCTAGCAAATATAAAGAATTCCTACAATGCAACACAAACAGATTAAAAAGTAAACAAAGAACTTGAATTGACATTTCTCTAAAGAACGGCCAATAAGCACCTGAAAAGATGTTCAACATTACTAGTTGTTAGGGAAATGCAAATTAAAACCATAGTGAGATACTACTTCACATCCATTAGTATGGTGACTATCAAAAAAATTGAAAAGGGCCAGGCGCAGTGGCTCAAGCCTAAAATCCCAGCACTTTGGGAGACCGAGGCAGGTGGATTACCTGAGGTCAGGAGTTTGAGACTGGCCTGGCAAACATGGAGAAACCCCATTTCTACTAAAAATACAAAACTGAACCATGCATGGCAGCAGGCACCTGTAATCTCTGCTACTTGGGAGACTGAGGCAGGAGAATCGCTTGAACCCAGGAGGTGGAGGTTGCTGTGAGCTGGGATCTTGCCACTGTACTCCAGCCTGGGTGACAGAGTGAGACTGTGTCTCAAAAAAAAAAAAAATTAAAATAACTGTAGGGAGACCCCCTGAAACTATTGCTACCGAATAAAAGATGAAATGCTCCTGATCATTGTAAATACAAAATTGCATGCAGGATTGTGTAAAGACAATGCCAGGTTGGACTGCCAGAATGAGCCAACAGCACGTGATGTGCTTCCCTCTGCAGAGAGCCTATGAATGGACGTGCAGTCAGGGAGGTTTAACATCACCAAGATTCCTATCCCAGAAAAGCAGATGTTCATAGCTCTGGGAATGGAATGTGACCCTTGTGGAGAACCTATAAATGGATGCATGAGGGGCGCCTGTCCATATGGATAAGATGGGGCTATAAACGCCCTCATCTTGTCACGGCTCTTCTGGGCCTCTTTAGGGTTAAGGCATACTCCCTTCTGAGAATTTCTGGTCTAATGAGTTGTCTAGCTTCACATCTTGTTTCTATGGATTGTTTGTAACCAGCTTTTGCTGCAACTGTTATTGCTGATTATTATCTTGCTAATCATAGGTTATGGAAAGACTCTGTTTTGTTTTAAGGCTCTGTTAGAAATTACTGATGTGCGCACTATATTGTAAATTCTTATCTCTGTATATTGTACTTCTGCATACAGATGTTATGTTAAAGAAAAAAATCACATCCCCATGTGACCATCTCACCTCGTAATCAAATGGCCCTAAATCCCTCACTAACCTACCCCCGCCCTCACTAAACTTAATGATAAATGCTGGCGTATCCAGTGCATTGGCGGCATCCCAGGACCAGAAGGTGGTAACCCCCCTGGACCCAGCTTTCACTATCTTGTGTGTGTTTATTATTTCTCAACCTGCCCATCCACCTGGGAACAAAGAGAGAGCCCCATTGCATTGCAGGCTGTTGACCAGATCCCACAATAAATAATAAATGTTGGTGAATTTGAAGAGAAATTAGAACCCTTGTGCATTTCGATTGGGAATGCTAAATGGTGCAGTCACTGTGGAAAATGATATGGCAATTCCTTAAAAACTTTAACGTGGAATGACTATATGAGCCAGCAATTCCGCTTCTGGGTGTATACCTAAAAGGAGTGAAAGCAGGGACTTGAACAGATATTTAGACACCCATGATCCTATCAGCATTATTTATAATAGCCAAAAGGTGGAAGCAACCCAAGTGTCAACTGACAGGCGAACAGATAAATTAGTATACACATACAGTTACTTAGCCTTGAAAACGAAGAATTTTTTCTCTCTTTCTTTATTTTTGAGACAGAATTTCACTCTATGCCCAGGCTGGAGTGCAAAGGCACAATCTTGGCTTACCACAACCTCTGTCTCCCAGATTCAAGCGATTCTCCTGCCCCAGCCTCCCAAGTAGCTGGGATTATAGGCATGTGCCACCATGCCCAGCTAATTTTGTATTTTTAGTAGAGATAGGGTTTCTCCACATTGGTCAGGCTGGTCTTGAACTCCCGACTTCAGGTGATCTGCCTGCATTGGCCTCCCAAAGTGCTGGGATTACAGGCGTAAGTGCCTGGCCAAAAAGGAAGAATTTTGACACATGCTACCACACCGAACCTTGAAGACATTATGTAAATTAGAATAAGCCAGTCCCCAAAGGACAAATATTGAATGAATTCCACTTATATAACATTCCTAGAGTAGTCAAATTAATAGAGATGGAATGTAGAATTGTGGTAGGAGATGGGGGTTTTTGGGCCTTTTGTTTAATTGGCACAGAGTTTCTCTTGGGGAAGATTAAAAAGTTCTTTGCATGGGCAACATGGTGAAACCCTGTCTCTACAAAAATTACAAAAATTAGCCGGGTGTGGTGGCATGCACCTGTAGTCCTACCTACTCAGGAGGCTGAGGTGAGAGGATTGCTTGAGCCCAGGAAGTCAAGACTGTGGTGAGCTGAGATCTTGCCACTGTACTGCAGCCTGGGAGACAGAGCAAGACCTTGTCTCAAGAAAAAGAAAAAAAAAAAAAAAAAAAAAAAAGACTAGCCAAGTGCAGTAGTAGTGAGAAGGGTGAGGGGAAAGAGTAGAACAAGGAGTTCAACTGTAACTCATGGTGAACAATCAATTGAGATAACTCACTACCTTCAGAACAGCCATGAGCTGACTCTTAACCCCTAGAAGAGTGAAGATAAGGAGCCCAACTGTGAATGGAAAGTTAGCCTATCATTCCCAGCGCCAGCTTCCTCTCCTCACATCCTCATAATGGATGCTGACTGTGTGGTGGGACAGAAGGGACTTTGCAGAGCTTTGCTCATGCCACTCACCGATATTCTTCCCAGCCAGCTTGTTCATCAGGTAGGATTTGCCTGTGCGGTAGAGGCCCACAATTGCCACCACCACCACAGGCTGTGTAATGGCAGACAGGATCTTCAGAGCTTCTGGATTCGCCACCAGTTCCCCATTAGTGTTCTCAATGAGGCACACTGGGCCTGACATGTGGATCTCTGGAGCCATGTCCAGGGCGTTGTTCTCTTCTCTGCAAGGGAGGAGTTGGAATGAATTAGAATTTCCAGTCTTTTGCATTTAGAGGATAGAGTCACAAAATTCCGCAAGATGGCCAAAAGTTTTGTGTGTGTCAGTGAGAGAGATGAGGGAAAATCTGTATCATTTTAAAAAATTATGGAAATATTATCATCAGATTAAATATTGGTATGACAGCAACTTATCAACAGTCAACTACTCTTGCGACCTTATTGTGGAAAACCTTCCCTTGGATTCTTATTAAAAAATTTACACTAGACAATAAATAGAAGATAAAATAGGACATAGAGAATTTTTTTTACATCTTGGCTATATGTAAGAAATTCAATATTGATTTGTTTATTCATGAATTCTTATGGTGAATAAAGAACCCCATGAGTAAATTTTTCATTGGTTGATGTATGCCCTTAAGACAATTTCCAGAGATTTTTAAATATGTTCCTTCCTCCATTTTCAACTGGTTATGCTTACTTCCCTGCAATGAAGATCCATAAAGCTTCTCACAGTGCCGTTCTGGAAGTGGAACCAATGTAACATACTTTTGCAAATTTTATAGAACTACATAACCATGTGAAACACATGCCTAGGGACCTTTCCAAGGGCTTTGAAGGGGCACATGCAAGAGAGGGGCCCTGAAACTTAAGCTTTATTAGTGTCACAATAAGGTAGCCTCTAGTGTGGGTATAAATGCAAAACTGCCAATACTCAATGTTCCTAAGAAACACACACATACACACACACGCACACACACAACAACAACAACAACAAAACAAACAAAAAAAATCCATGAAATAAGGATTGAAAGACCAGGAGGTACATAAAGAGAGCTACATAGGAAGTTGTTAAAAGAAAATATATTTCCAGCAATGCAGCTTTAGGTTTTCTGTTTTGTTCTGTTTTTCCATTTTGTAGAGTAGGAGAAAGAGAAATGGGAAGAGGAGAAACAGAAGTGGGGAGGAGGAGGACAAAGGGCTGGAAAGATGAGAGAGAGAGAGAGAAAGAGAAAGCGCCAGGAAGGGAGCTGTCAGACAAGGTGATGAATGAGGCTATTGTTTTGCCAAGGAATTCAGGGAAGGCCTTTCCAGAAGATGGGATCTGAGTTGTCTGAGTGCATGGGAGAGGTTACAGTAAGCAAAGATACTGGCTTTAGTAGTGATGCATTACAGGAAATTCTCCTGTAAATTCTCCAGAGGATATTCTGCATAGGAAAACTAGGCCACCGCCCAGTCTCTCTCTCTCTTTCTCTCTTAAAAAAAAAAAAAAAAAAAAAAAAAAGAAAAGGAAGGAAAGGAGAGGAAACTCTTTAGCCTGGATTATTTCTAGAGAAGCAATCTGAAACAAATGCTGTTTTCATGAATCTTCCTCCTCTTTGGTGCTGGGTTTCAGTTTTTCCTTTGTCTATAACCCTGTCAGTGGGCTGCTTACTCTGCATTACCTTTGCTGTTCTTTCCTTCTGGTGAAAAGAACCCATTTGTAGCTCTTTCCATTTCTTAGCTGCATAGGAGCAGGATTCAGCAAGCTCCATCACTGACAATGGAGATGTAATTATGTCCCTAGTCAACACAGGCAATGTCAACAAAGAGAAAGACTATCCTAGTGCATTTCAAACTCTCAGTTTAGTTCCTGTCTGCCGTAGTGGCACTTAGAGCCATGCTGCTTCTGATAACACCAGGATTTCATCTGACCTGTGTCCCACGTCAGGCTCAGCTGCAGCCTAATTTGGTCCTGGTCATTTTTAAGAAAACGAACTGACTTTTATAAATTCCTTCCCATCCTTGCCACAACGTTATAGGCTCCACGTCCGTCCCTGAGCTGAGGCACTTCAGAGCTGGAGAAGAAGCAATAGGAGTTCTTACCTGTGCTTTTCTCTTCAGTCAAGATAAAGTTGTTTCTGTCACTTCTCTTTTCTTTCACTGGATCGCTGGACTTTTATTTTACCCCTCCAGTGTTATGTAGCTTTCTGGATTTTCCTCAGTGATCAAATAGTTAGAAGTTAAGCAACAATTGTAATGGCTTCAGAGCCTAGTGAAACTGAAAGTACTTCTTTCAAGGCACTGACTCAATAACCATAAATGCAATTTCTGGATTCTGCTAGTAGGAGGGTTTAAAGTGAAGTTTCAAGGTTTTTTGTTGGAAGAGATCTTAGAGACCATTTATTGTTTTAAGAACATGTCCATTAGGTATTGAAAAAAATGAAATGTATCTCAAGATTAGAGATCTGTTTGAGAGTTGTAGAATGAGGAGGCATCACATTAATTTTTAGATATAATTTCCTATAACAAGAGACAATTCACAAGGGAGCTGCCTATTCTTTTAGAGGTGCAATAAGTGAGGAAAGGGCATGTTTTACACTCTCATGAACACCTAGTCCCTGGCACTTAATGCCGAGCACACAGTCAGGAGGGGGCTCCATGCATTGTACTCATGTTCCAGGCTCAGTGCTGACTGGTTTACATGAATTACGCTACTTAAATCTCCTAACAAGTATTTCCCTATGATTTTTAGAAACCAAGGCATAGAAAGACTTTATCAGTTGTCTAAGTTCATAGCACTATAACTAATCTGAACCCAGGGAGTCTTGATCGCAAACCCTCTTCTTGAACCACCTTACTATGCTGCCTTTGTTTGGTGAGTGAATAATTGTAAAAATATTTAATTTATAGATGACTTTCCTCTTTTTATTTAGTATACTGTAATTTGATTTTTCATAAATTGTTTTCTAAGAGTTTCATATGTTATGTGTCTCTTTCATTCATGACTACTTACATGCAGAATAGGTGGTATAAACTCTATTTTACAGTAAAAACAAGAAATTGCAAAAAACCCTTGTGAGCATTTATTTGTTAGTTACATACACATTAAAAAGTATACATTAGGTATATATGAAATGAGATATATTGTTCTCTCTTGATCGTATTTTATGAAATAATTTTATTCAAACTCTTCCTATTCTTCCTGAACTCTTTAGCTTCGTCATTATTAAAACTACTTTAAAGTATTTTTTTTTTTTTTTTTTTGAGATGGAGTCTCACTCTGTCCCCCAGGCTGGAGGCTGGAGTGCAGTGTTGCAATCTTGGCTCAGTGCAGCCTCCGCCTCCAGTGATTCTCCTGCCTCACCCTCCCACACAGCTGGGATTACAGGCACATGCCACCATGCCTGGTTGGTTTCTGTGTTTTTTCGTAGAAATGGGTTTTACCATGTTGGCCAGGCTGGTCTCACACTCCTGACCTCAAGTGATCCACCCACCTCAGCTTCCCAAACTGCTAGGATTACAGGCATGAGCCACCATGCCCCGCCAAAGTCTTTTAACTTATTTTTTTCAGAGTATATCATTGTTACTTTTGTCATAATCATTTGAACCATTTGAAATCCTGCAAATTGTCCTAAAAACATATATCAAACAACAAAACATCTATTCAAGAAGACCCCTACAACTATGGTAACAATAGCAAGGGTCCATGGTACTTGTTCTACAGCCTGCTTCTTCCCCACCTTCAATGCAGATTGTCAAACGTTCCACTACAGGTGGATATGACCAAGAAGCCTGTGTTCCCTCTTCTTTCATCTTCCCGTCAGGGATAAAATATCCCATTAGGAGGGGCAGTCTATGAGCATTTCTCATTCCCTCCAACACCAAGTTGTAGAAACTAAATTCCTGGTGAGCGTGACCAGATGTCAAGGGCTTTCAACCTCCCCCACCCCAGTCATAGAGTAAAAGGTTTAACCCAGGCTTCTCAGCCTGAGAACACCTCCTGATCCCTTCACTGTGGTTCACTTGTAGGGTGGAGTTTCCATGCTTGGAGAGACAAGCAAAGAAGACCAGAGGCTCCCATCCCTGTCCAGTACAAGGGGCCATGGCTCAGAGGTTTTGCCCAGGAAAAGAGGCCATTCATAAAATCAAAGGGCTTGGAAGCTATTCCCCAAAATACCGACTTTGGTTGAAACAACATGTGGAAAAATTCAAGCATAGATACTTGAGAAAGGTTATTGCTAGCTGATCTACTCTATGAGCAATACTAAAAGAAGATTTTCAAGCAGAAAGCAAGTTACCTTTTCAAATGGTAATTCAAATCCACCTGGACAAATAGTAAGGGAATTATGTAATTACAAAAGATAGTATAAATGTATATTTTTTCCTTTCTCCTTATAACTTATTTTTTAAAAATAAGTACTTTATTGTATAAAAGAGTATGTATATAAGTATATTTCAAGGCCTATAACATATAGAAATGTATTATACTTAACAAGAGTGACACAAAGAGAAAAGGTGGGAGCAAAGGTATATTGGAATAAAGAAACAATAGCAGATGTTAATTTGAACCTCTAGAAATAAGGAGAACTTGTAAGTAAGAAAATAAAAATGTAAAACTCTATAAATTTATGCCTTTTCCTTCTGCTTCCTTAAAAGACATAAAATACTGTGATTTAATAATCATAACAGTGTATTATTGAATTTGTAACATATATAGATTTAATATATGTAATAATAATAGTACCAACAGAGGGAAGAGCCAATAGTTATAGAGTTATTAGTATAATAATTCAGGATCTCACAGGAATTAATTTAGCATAAATTTCAAGCATCCTTTGGTAAGTTATGTATATCATAATGCCTAGAACAATTACTAAAAAATAATAGGTCTCAAATCAATAACCTAGTCTTTTACCTTCAGACACTGGTTAAAAAAAAACAAAAAACTAAATCTGAAGCAAGCAGAAAGAAGAAAATGAAAAGTTTTGGAAATTAACAGAGTAGAAACCAATGAAATAGAGAATAGAATAAAAAAGTAGAGAAAGTCGATAAAACCAGAAGCTGTTTTTAGAAAAGATCAACAAAATCGACAAAGTTTTTAGTTAGACTGGCCAAAATGAAACAAAACAAAATGAAACAATCCAGAAAAACAACAGAATACTTAAAAAACTAAAACTGAGAATGAAACAGGAGGCATCACTACTGACCTTACAGAAATAAAGAAGATTATAAGGTAATACTATGAACAACAGTATGTCCACAAATTAAATTATGCAAAATAGGCAAATTCCTAGAAAGACACAAACTACCAAAGCTATCTCAAGAAGAAATAGTTCATCTGAGTAAAAGTAACAAGTAAAGAGATTGAATTACGTATTCGTCCATTTTTGTGCTGCTATGGTAAAATACCTGAGACTGGGTAATTTGTAAAGAAAAGAGGTTTAATTGACTCAGAGTTCCACATGGCTGGGGAGGCCTCAGGAAACTTACAATCATGGCATAAGGCCGGAGAGAGAATGAGAACAGAGCAAATGGGGAAGTCCCTTATGAAACCATTAGATCTTACGAGAACTCACTCACTATCATGAGAACAGTGTGGAAGAAACCACCCTGTGATTCAATTATCTCCACCTGGTCCTGCCCTTGACACATGGGGATTATTACAATTTAAGGTGAGATTTGGTTGGGGACACAGAGCTAAACCATATCAATTATTAATCATAAAACTACCACAAGAAAATTACAGCCCCAAATGACTTCACTGGCTACTTCTACTAAACAGCTAAAGAAGAATTTATACAAGTTTCTTACAAACTTGACCAAAAATAGAAGAGTACAATTTCCCATTCAGTTTGAGGCAATATTACAATGCTATGAAACCAAAAGACATCACAATTAAAGTGTAGATCATTATGTTTTATGAAAAAGGATGCAAAAATCCTCAATAAAATACTAGCAAACCAAATCCCAGAAATATATACCAAGACTTACATGAAGTGGGATTTATCCCATGAAAGCGAGTATGGTTTAACATGTGAAAATGAGTTAATATAAAACACCATGTCAACAGAATGAAAGACAAAAACCATATAATCATCTCAATATACCCAGGAAAAGCATTTGATAAAATTTGATACCCCTTCCTGATAAACACAGTCAACACTCTGAGGACAAAAGGGAGCATTCTCAGCTTTATAATGTCTTACGAAGTTTTATTTTGATATAATTTTAGACTTGAGAAAAGCAGCAAAATAGTACAAAGTTTCTGTACAATCTTTTCCTCAGTTCCCCAAATGTTATTATTTTAAATTTATTTTCTTTCTTTCTGAACTATTCAAGAGTTAGTGACAGATATAATGGCTCTTTATACCTAAAAAATTCATTGTGTGTTTCTTAAAAAAGAGAAATTATTTTACAGAGCCACAGTATATTTGTGTAAAGTCCTTCTTAGGCCATACACTTTTTTTTCTAGTTTATTATTTAAATTTTTTAAATATTTCAACTCTTATTTTAAGTTCAGGGGTACATGTGCAGGATGTGCAGGTTTGTTACACAGGTAAATGGGTGCCATGGTCGTTTCCTGCACAGATCATCCCATCACATAGGTACTGAGCCCAGCATACCTTAGCTACTCTTCCTAATGCTGTCCCTTCCCAAAACCCCCCCAACAGGTCCCAGTGTGTATATTCCCCACCATGTGTCCATGTGTTCTCATTATTCGGCTCCCACTTATAAGTGAGAACATATGGTGTTTGGCTTTTTGTTTTTGCGTTAGTTTGCTGAGGATAATGGCTTCCAACTTCCATCTCCATCCATGCCCCTGCAAAGGACATGATCTCGTTCCTTTTCATGGCTGCATAGTTAACAGCTGGAATTCTGTGTCTCCTTCTGGGAGGGAAAACAATATGTAACAGACTCTTTAGACCTGTTCTTGCAAGTGTAACATGGATATGTGCCTTTAAGAAGCAAATATTAATAGTTAATATCTGATTTTCTCCGCCTATCTACTGGGAAATGATAGACGGTTGATTCAGGACTGGTGGAATCCTTTGGTGTCATTCTTGAAGCTTTTTAAGGTGAGGGATTGCAGCACTCTGTGTTGGGACTACTTATTTGTGCATTTGTCGCTGAGATAGTAAACATTATTCACGAATTTTAAAATGTTCAAACTATTAAGAGATCTTAGTTAGTATATCTCAGAACCAAAAGTGTGCATGTGGTATTTAGTTAGTAAATAATGTTTACAAGGACAAATTTATTTACAAGGCATGATAATCCAACTGAATGAATATAGAAGAACTCTCAAAATATGTTAAAGACTCCACGGAGCATATGAAGGCTTGAGTTTTTTTAATTCAATGTAAATCAAATAAAAGCACTTATCAAAGTCTTGAAGAATATTTGTTATCATTTTGAATGAATAGTGGCAATTATTGTATTTTAACTGAG